GATATAATAGGTAACAAATCTGCAATGTATTTATGGCAAAGTTTAACCTTTGTGCTCACTAAAAAATGGTGCATCAAAAGGATGGTTACTTCCTTGACACCACTATTACTGTATGCACTTTAAATGGTTTGGTCTTGGTTGCTTGGTTACAGTTACTTTCCCACCACTGTATGGTTGCCTCAATGTACCTTTTCTATAAATACATTCACGGTAAATGTTTTGATGAACTCTCCACTATGGTAGGTAGACTTTTTGAATTTAAGCGCAGTACTAGACTGGCGTCAAGATCACATCAATTTACAGTTGAGCTGGCTAGATGTAACCATAAAGGCTATGCTAACAGTTTCTTTTCTCACACCTCTCGCTTGTGGAACTCCTTTCCAGCTCCATGCTTTCCAGCCAACTTTAATCTTCAAAAGTTTAAATGCAATGTCAATCACTATCTACTGTCTGCCTGATTACATGTTTTGTTCTTGCTCATTAGTAATGTTTCTGTCTCTAATTCTTCCACAGCCAGTAACCCCTTATGTCTTAATGGCTTTACTGCCTTGCATGGGGTGAACTCAATTAAAAAAAAAAAAAAAATTAGAGAGATTATAGAAATGTGTGAACCAAATATAATGCAATATTTATTATTTACCTTTTATAAAGTTTCGTTATTTACCATTTTATTAAGAAATAAATTTTATTCAAAAATTTCTAAAAAAATTTCAAAATATATAAACTAATTATAAAATATTTATTATTTACCATTTCATAACTATGAAAACAAATTTTTTATTCCATAATTTTATAAAAATATCAATAAACTATAAAACAAAAGAATTTGAATAAACGCATCATTTCCTGGATATAATTTCTGGATTATTTTCCATCATAGGTTACCCCTTGTTTTAATTCTCCAATTTTTATAAATTCATGAACAAAAACATTTCTTCTCATATTAACTTTTTTATAAAATGGAAAATAATAAATATCTCATTATATTTGGTTCACATATCTTTATAATCTTGTAACTATAAAATTATTCTTGTAAATAAGGAATCTAATAAATAAATAGCGTTTAATATTTTTTTTGACAATCCTCAAGAATAAAGAAAATGTATAAATCTACTTTCATATATTTGGGTTTTATTAAAATCTAATCATCTGTTCTTAAAACAATAAAAATTACTGAAGGAGTATACAGTAATAGCATGTCATAGGAATAACTGTTCTTTGACGCAACGTTTTTTTAATTGGAACAAAGGTTAAACATTGCTATATTTCTTTAGTTAAGCCATTAGTAATGTGTTAAAGTGTATTCAAAAATATTTACATTTAGTACATCTAGTGCTGTGACCGATATTACTAGTTCATGTTGACCTTTTGTATTGTCCTGTTCTTCTGATATGTAAATCAGGCAACCTCTCACATGCAAATTTATCACTACAATTGGTATTACATGCACATTCACATATATAAATTGCAACGTCTATCCATATGTAATTATTTGTGTGTGTGTATGTTTCTAACACTTTTCTAAATGATCAGAAGAAAAGGGTAATGCATATTAAAAAATGCTGGTTGGCTTTGGTTTGGTTGGTTTATGGCATATCAACCTCAATTGGTTAATGCTGACAAAATTTTTATTGCTGGTAATTTTTTCTTTTTTTTCAAAAATCTATTTCTGGTAATATTTTTTCTTCAAAAATGTATTGCTGGCAATAATTTTTTTTCAATAATTTTTGCTGGTAAAAATTTCTTACAAAGTATTTCTGCTATTAAAACATATTTTTACACTTTCATAGTGTTTTGATTCTAGTTTGGGGGTTAGCTATTTACCCATAGCTGGGACCCTAACAGGTGCTATCACTCTAGATTAGGATGGACCTGGGAATACCAGCAATTAAGAGGTGGTTCCATGCTCATCAAAACATCTTGATCAGAAGCCTTGCTGTTGGACATAGTTTATTGTCTTACCCAGGAAGTAGATGTAGTTTATCGTCATACCCAGGAAGGTGCTGGTTGGCTTTGTGATAAGTTATTTTTGATAAATAGTCATTGGTGATATGACATCATGAAAATAGTAGAAAAACACAGCACAACTATTTTTGTATGGATGATAGCATCCATCCTTGCTATAAATTTGACAATGTGAAGAAATACACTCTGTACATACATGCATGCATGCTCAGTTCCAAATGTAGACATTAAAACAAATTCTTACTATGCTACACATAACTGCATTATAATCTAAAGATTAAACAACTAATAACCCACAATCTAAAACTAATAAACTTATAAATAAATAAACAAACAAATTGAGGTAAATAGCAATAGGGAGGTCCAAGGACCATAAATCAATCTTGTAAATCCAACTTCAGAAGATGTGGGGCCATAAATCAAAAAAATAAAAACCCCACATCATAATTTGGAATGCACAACTACCTTCTTCACCCATGAAAAACCAAGCAATTGCCCTGTGGTCCAAAGTAGTAATCATTTATTGGGGTAAAAAAGATTTTGATTGGTTGAGACTGGTATGGAAACACAATTACTATATTTTGAGGCTTACTAAACTCAACCCAATCTTGATTCTGATTTTCTTTTTTGACAGATAGCACAGAGAAAACAAATTCTTATTTGAGGTAAGACTTGGTTTTCTCCATCATTATACAAATAAATAAACACACTCAAGAACAGGAAACTAAATAATTTAAAGACATAACTCTTAAACAAAAAACTTGAAAAAAACTGGTTTCCCCTTCCCAGAAGCCTCCTGATAGAGAACCTACATAAAGAGGAGTAACATGGTCTGATGATTACTTAAATCATGAAACTGCCAGTCACCATGCAGTATTGATTTCTATGTCCATACTATATATCATTTATTCTACTTTATATTCCTCACATATTCATTGCTACCTTTGATAAGTGAAACCTTATATAATGGTATTTAAGTTTTTTGTTAAAGTTGTTATCAGAAGTATTTACACTATACTTGGGACTGTTGTCCTTATCTTTGTTGTTATCATCACAAAATTTTGGCTGTTGTTCCCTCCAGCCTTCCTCAGGTGTATATTGATCTGGGTAACCTACAGGTAATTTTGTACTTCAACCTTTATTTAATCTACTTCTCATTCCACTGCTCATCTCTAGGGATATTGTTTCATTATTATCTTATATGGTATCGTTCAGTTATTGCCTGCTTGTCTCCATTGAGTGCAAGTACACACAGCCTGACCCAATGCTTTTACCTACTCAGTCATTGTCCCAAATATAAATACTGATAACTCTTCATCCCAGAAATTCAGACAAAAATTACTATTAGAAATTGGTAAGACTACTTCTGCTTTAAAGTTAAATTTATTAACACATTTACTGCTACTTTGGATATTTGAACCTATTTAAGTTTTTGTTAGTTCCCATATGTGCCAGATAATTTTCTCACCAGAATCATTGCAGATTTATAAATCTACCATTTATCCAGGCACTGAATATTGCTGCCATATCTGGTCTGGTACTCCCACTATATATCTTGAGATACTTGAAAAAATTCAAAGAATGATCTGTCATGTTATTGGTCCTGACTTGGCATCTCGACTTCCATCACTTTATCACTGCTGTGACATGGCTTCCTGCTGTCTTTTTCTAGAAATATTTTCATGGCAGTTGTTCTAATGAGCTCTCCACTTTGGTGCCTCCATCACATGAATTTATGTGTACTACTAGATTGACAAATAGGTCTCATTGTTTCACTGTTGAAATAGCTAGATGAAACCATAAGTTATATTTTAATAGTTTCTTTTCTTGCCCTTTTTGCCTCTGGAATATTTTTCTGGTTTCCTGCTTTCCCGCCACCTGCAATATTAAAAAGTTTAAATGGAACATCCATCATTATCTTCAACTTTCCTGCATCCTGTTCTTCTATTGACATTTCTCCTCACTTTTCTCATTCTCTTTCACTCTCAGTAAATCCTTGCATCTTAGTGGCATTATTACCTGTCTTATGGTGAAATGATTAAAAAAAAATTAAAAATACCTATACAAGACTACTTCAGATTTATTTCCTAAATAAAATAAAATTTATCAACACATTCATTGCTACCTTGGATATTTAAATCCCTACATAATGCCATCTATGTTTTTGTCAGTTACCATTAGAAATTGCTATTTGGATTTTATTTTGATAAATAAAATTAAATTATTAATACATTCATTACTACCTTAGGTATTTGAACCCTTACATAATGCCATCTATGTTTTTGTTAGTTACCATTAGAAATGACTATATAAAACTATTTAGACTTTATTTTGGTAAATAAAATTAAATTGTTGTTGGCACCTGAGCTTCAGGATTGTCATCCTCTTTCCGTATTCTCTTTCTTATCTCTGGTGGCAGTGATGGAGATGGCAGTTAAGGCTCAGCCTACTCCTGAAGAGTTCTGAGCAGGAGTCATAGAGGAGTGTGGGTGGTGGATGCAGCTGGGTGTGTTGGGCACTCCTGACAGAATTTTGCAGATCCTCTTCATGTTGACAGTTGGACTCGAAAAAATCTATTAATATATTCACTACTACCTTGGATATTTAAACCCTTAAATAATGGCATCTATGTTTTTGTTAGATACTGTTAGAAATTTCTATATGAGACAATACTTTATTTTGATAAATAAAGTTAGATTTATTATACAATAAACAATGATGTGTTCTTGGTTTGGTTTTGCTTTGCTTTTTTTCTCTATACTGATTTACGATGCTTTTGTGATCCATGGTCTTCGTTTTGCAAAAACAGTTCAAGAAATCAAACTTAAAACAAAAAAAAAACAAACAAAAAAACACATTGGGGATGTTCTTTTGACATTGCTTTTTATATTGCCTTAAATAAAACTATAGAACTATCTGCATAAGTGTATCAGAGGCAAGATTACAACATGCTGCAAGATTTACTTGAACAATGGATTAAAACTGGCTGCCAGAGAAATTGCATTTTAAAAAAAACAAGATTAAGTCAAACTTACTGCTGGCTGCAGAGCCAGTGTATGTGCTATCCGAAACTGTACTACTGTTGCTGTGCATACTGCTTGCCCTACTGCTTGGATCATGTTGCCGAGCTGGGATCACAGTGTTATGAACCCAAGCAGTTAAATTAGCCAATTGAGCCTCCATCCTTTCCATTCGGACCCTGTGATAAAAAAAAAAAGGAAAACTAAAAACAAGCAAATAAATATAAAAAACAACCAATTTTAACAAGTTGATAATAAAAAAATTTTAAAATAGAAATTATTGAATCACTAGTTTGAAATAAATGTGAAGGGGATCAGAGCTTGTGCTCCCCTAATCTATGATACAGCTTCCCCAATCTTTAATAAAGGGAACCCCACTTTACATCATCTCAATTTTCATAAGGTAATATCCATAAAAAATACATATTTTATTCTAACCTAATTATATACAATAACAGATCGTATGCAATATAGGTAAAGAATTCAACAAGAAAAATTGAAAATAAATACAACGTATCTAAATACAAATTAGAGACATGTCATAATAGATCACAAAATCTTAAATGAATCAAAAATATTTAGCAGTAATTTTTAAGATCAACTTGAGATTTTTCTTGTTAAAAAGTTGAAAATTTTTAACACAGTCAACACTATGCATAAAGATAGTAAGTTTTATATAGTGTTTTTTTGAGACTTATCATGAGCAAAACAAGTTTACGGATTTGGATGATAAAAAGACCTCAGAATGGTGTAAAAAAACTGCAAAGATTTTTCATCCTTTAATAGTCAGTTGTACTTAGTTTGTAATGTATATAAATGTAGGTAGAAAAAAGCAAATATTGATAAGATAGAGAAGGTTATCAAGCATTGTCCAGGGCCCCCAATCAGATTGGGAGATTCAGGGGTAGTACACACTGGCCCTGAAATGGATGCATACCTATGTTTATAGATTATGCAAAAATGTTTGACAAGGTATGTTACAAAGAACTGTTTGAACTGCTAGGTAAACTTGATGCATTTAGAAAATATATTAAAATAATCCAGAACTTATACTGGAATCAAACTGCCTGCAAGAGGAGAAATTGAATTCATTAAATATACAAAAATAGAAAAGGGTGTAAGACAAGGATGTGTATTCACACCAGACCATTAATTATAAGTAGATAGAATATATGGTTGTCAGAAAAAGAAACAGAAAAAATTTAAAAAAGAAAATTTAAATATCTACAAAATATTTCAACAGAGGAGGGAAAATATGCCTCTAAAATCTGAAAGTGCATTGGGGTAGCAAAAGATGTCTTCTAAAAGTTAAGCAAAGTATTATGAGACAAGAGAAAAACAAAGAAAAAAAAATGAACTGTTATATAATATTGGTCCTCCTGAGGCAACAGAAATGTGGTTCTACAGGAGGATGCTGAGAATATTATAGATTGAACATCTAAGCAAAGTTTTCAAGAAAATGGAAACAAAAAGTACACTTAGAATCAAAAATAGGAAGTTGAAATTTCCAGAGCACAGAATGAGAAAAGAGGCTTTTAAAATTTGATATTCACATGACATATTAAAAGCAAAAGGAACAAAGGAAAGAAACACAACCTACCTAATGAATTTGTGTAAATGTTTGGCAGAATAAGGATTAGGAGAAACAGCAAAAAGAAACATTTTACTAAGAGCTACAAGGGACAGGAAATTAGGGTGAACTATGGTCGCCCATATCCTGAAGTGACATGGCACATAGAAGTTTGGTATCTGTTGTTTCACTGAAAGTAAGATGATGAAATTTCAAATCTAAATTTTTTTGTCCATTTAAAATCTAACATTGATTAAAAACATATTCAGTTTAAATACAGGTGTCATAAAAATGATTTCAGAGGGCTGCACATTTCAGCATATATATCCTCTTCCTGTTAACTAGGGGTTGTTGCCAGACAGAATAAGGTTTACAAACACATCACATTGAAATTCCAGTTCCTATACATTCATAGAAGTTAAGCAATGTTATATTCACTTACACACAAATACCCCTGGAAAAGATATGTATACAGCTCTTCTCCCCCCTAGCTATGGGTTAATTAGTAAGACTTGTATCACTAAAGAAAAAAGTTACAATTTAAAAATATTTTCTGGTTTTAAATAACCTTCAAAGGGGTGAGCCACTGTAGAAAACTAACCAATCAAAGGAAATTCTTTAAGGAATTTTATTTCTTTTTGGTTTCATTCTTTTCTTTCATCCCGAGAAATGTTAGCTTAGCAGAAAAAGTACCAATGATTTATTATTTGAGCACACACACAAATACACACATACATTTATTTATTTCGTTTTTGGATCTGATGAAGCCTGAAAGAATGAAATGCAGATATATATATATATATATATATATATTAAAAAGAAGAGGGGTGCCGCAAACGTTTTTGGTTGTAATGTGGATTTATTGAGAAAAAATATTATACTTTGTTTTACATAATTTCATGACACGTGTTTCTGGTCTGGTCTCGCAACCGTCTTCAGGTGAAAGTGGAGATTTTTACATATTATTAAAAATAATTAATTTTTCTTCATGTTCAATGTGGAATATTCTCGATATGAGACATTCTGTTTTGTGTGTTGGCAATCCGAATTTTCTTTCTAGAATTGTCAATGAAGAGTTCTGCGTGAAGGGTCATAAAACAATTAAGGTTTGTCCAGCGAGTAGTTATCGGCATTTAATCTTTTAATGTTTTAGTGACCTCTATGTGCTCTTGGATCTGTTTCTATTTTGGCGTGTTCCTGTCAGCATGCGTGTATATATGCGTGCGTATATTTCCTTACTACGAGGAATTCGTAAACTTATTTGTACCTATACACGCATACACACACATACACACTATCCCACCACAAGTAGTCAGTACACACACACACATATACACACATATTTCCCTTCATATTTTGCTTCATCTTTTGGAAATCATCATGGGGTGATATTAACCAATTCCATACACTACTTCAAAACTTACACCCAAAAATCAAATTCACGCAAGAATATAATTTTAACGAATTACCATTTTTAGATATACTCATTAGAAATAAAAACAACCACATAATCACAGATATCTACCACAAACCCACAGACACCCAACAATACGTTCATTTCAAGAGCCATCACCCAAAAAGCTGCCTAAAATCCATCCCCTATTCCCTAGCACGTAGAATTTGTACAATAGTGACTGATAAACATCTCCGAAAAATCCGCTTAGAAGAACTACATAAAACTCTCAAGAAACGAGGCTACCCCACAACACTAGTAAACAAAGGTATTGAACTCGCGAAAGAAATTCCTCTAGACCAACTTAGAAATAAAAAGAAACGTAACGTCGAACAAACTCTAGCATATGTTTCAACGTACAACAAAAACAACCCAGAAATATTCCCAGAAATCACAAAAAATCTAGATTTACTTAGCAAGAATAATAAACTGAATAATATACTAAAAACAACCAAAATAATTAAGAGCAAACGCCAATCTAGAAACCTAAAACACATATTAACCTCATCTAAATTTAGTCAACACAAAATACAGGGAGTCACAAAATGCAACAAAAAAAGATGTGGAGTTTGTGACATCATTATAGAAGGAAACTCCTACACTTTTGAAAACCCAAAAAAACATTCACAATAAACAAAACTTAAACTGCAACTCCAAAATGTAGTTTATGCACTTAAATGCACAAAATGTAAGAAGTCATATATAGGCATCAGCCAACAACTGAACAACAGGGTCTCCCTACACAAAAGCAATATAAAATTGACAGACAACAGAAAACTTTTTGTATCACAACACATTTTCAAATGTAACCAGGGTAAGTTTAATATCATGCCGATATATCAAACAGACAATTACTCGTATCTACAAATACAGGAAAAAAACTTTATAGACAAATTCAAACCTGAACTGAATAGATCGTAACCCCCCACAAAAAAAAAAAAAACATGCACACAGGGTGACCAAATACAATGATCGCTCACATACATGGACGCACACTCATATACGGGAGACACGAGGAGATATATATATATGTGTATGTACACATACATACATTTATGTATGTATATGCGGATGTTGACAACTTAAGAAGTACGTGTGTGTGTGTGTGTGTGTGTGTATGTGTGTGTACTGGTTCCATGTAGCTTGGGAAATATGTGTGTATATGTGTGTGTGTGTACTGACTACTTGTGGTGGGATAGTGTGTATGTGTGTGTATGCGTGTATAGGTACAAATAAGTTTACGAATTCCTCGTAGTAAGGAAATATACGCACGCATATATACACGCATGCTGACAGGAACACGCCAAAATAGAAACAGATCCAAGAGCACATAGAGGTCACTAAAACATTAAAAGATTAAATGCCGATAACTACTCGCTGGACAAACCTTAATTGTTTTATGACCCTTCACGCAGAACTCTTCATTGACAATTCTAGAAAGAAAATTCGGATTGCCAACACACAAACAGAATGTCTCATATCGAGAATATTCCACATTGAACATGAAGAAAAATTAATTATTTTTAATAATATGTAAAAATCTCCACTTTCACCTGAAGACGGTTGCGAGACCAGACCAGAAACACGTGTCGTGAAATTATGTAAAACAAAGTATAATATTTTTTTCTCAATAAATCCACATTACAACCAAAAAACGTTTGCGGCACCCCTCTTCTTTTTAATATACATACTTTTCTCTCGTTGGAACCACTATAACATATTTTCTTATATATATATATATATATATATATATATATATATGTATATAAATAAAAAGAAAGAACAGTAAGATATAAAATCCGGTGTTCTTATAGATATTTTTATTTTTACAAAATAGTGCTCAATGTAAATTTACAGAGCATTAATATTATAAATTAATATGGTTTTTTTTTTCGCTACACAGTTCCAACCATGTTTCAAAAATAGAAGCTAAAAACCCCGAATTTAACTAATATTTAATTTAATAGCTAGTTTTGTAGTAAGTGCCATTAATATTACTTAAATAATATTTAAATTTAAAAGTTTATTAATAAAAAAAAAAACAAAAAAAAACAAAAAGGGATTTTACATATACTTTGATATGGAAAAATAATTTTACTTACTATGAGTAATTTTCCTTCTGTTATAAAGTAATATAGTCTATTAAAACTAAACAA